TATGTAGACTTCATATGGGTTATGATTACATACCACACACATGTACATAATGAAACAATGTAATAAAGTAAGCTGTCACTTCTTTGTTTTGTTTCTCATTTATTGGGGATGAAAGGTTTTAATAAATTATTTTATACACCGATTTACTTTTTCTTTATAATCATGCAAATCGGCAAAGAATGTTTCTTTTATCCGACGTGTAAATGCACGATTGCAGTGGATAAAATTTGTTCTGGAACAATTCATTGTGTATGAAACATTCCAATAAACAAGAGTCAGCATGATAGAATACTATGTATACACATATAAGGAGGGAACGCAATTTACTCAAATGACAAGGGATTTTGATCTTGAAATAACATTATGAAATTGACATAAACTATCTTATAAATTGTATAGACTTACACCACTGTATATATGTAAAACACGCACACACGCGTGTATCATTAATGTGTATGTGTACATGTGTGTGCGCGTATCCAATTTGACACTTTGATTTTCCGAGTTTTTAGGCATACTGTAATAACAAGGGGGTAAAGCAGTCATATGCATACTATTTATGTTGTAATAAGTGCCATAAGTGGCATATCTGTTCGCCCTTTTCTTCCTCTCCATTATGGACGTGGGTGGTGTGTCCACGAGTGCCACGGAATCAGTGTCAGCTGTCAGACCCATGCCCACATTAGAGTAAAATGGCGCTCCATCACTGTAATGTGTCGAGGCATGAGTCTTGCGGATTCCATATTGTATTTGTCTCTCTAGTCTCTTATTTTATATATTTTTTACGTAAATATCACCATAATTCAGTTCCATTTTCAAAGTAGTTACTCGGAGTGCCAATTATCTTTTATTCTCTTTTTATGGATGCCACTCAAGTTACTCCACATACCTTTGCTTTCGTGCCATTGTCATTGCCAGATTTTCCAGTACACCCTGTTCCCTTCTCATTGTAATTTATTCGTAAACTAAATTAAGAGTGAATTTCATTCATAAATTCATAATGAACTTATTGTTAATGCTGTCAAAACGTGCAACGAAATCAATTACAGTGGATTTCTCTTGTCATTAGTTACTCTATATCGCTCTAACACAGTTGCTCTCAAATAGGGGTAATAAAGTAATAAAGTATATAAATGAAACAAAGATTATAAATGAATAATAATTATGAGTCTTTCCATGTATATAACTTATTGTTGCGAGTTTTATTTTGCGTATTCAGTTAAAACCAAGTCCAGAACCAGCTAGAATAAGCAGGTACTGAGATGTGCACTGTTCTCTGCAGACCTCCCCCCCCCCAATCCCTTGCTCGTTGTTGTCGTCGGGGGGGGGGGGGGGTGTAGATGACGGAGACTGAGGCCCATTGAAGGGGATCAGCCCTGCCTTGGTCCTCAGCCCTTGCCTCAATTAATTTTGCTCGGTCTTTTCTTCTTTCAATTTCCTTTCTTCATCCTATTCGTTCTGCCCACTTAATCTAACCGTTGACTCATGTTTACCTTTTTTCACCACTGTACATTAAAGTATTGCTATATGACCTTTGATGTCTAGCATATTTATTCATTTTAACAATTCACCATCTACAACCCTCGCACTTATATTTTATTTAAAAGAAAACAAAGAACGCCGTGTTCCCCATTAGTAATACAGCGATAATGTTTATGTTTTATTACTTATTAAAGACTTGTTTTAATTCGAATTTGTAAAAAAAAGGAATAAACCTTTGAATTTAGATTTTGTCAAGGGGATAATATCAAGATTCTTTTTGCACATATACAATGCATCAAGAATTAAGGATTCCTATATTTTTCTTTCTTTTAAGAAGCGAAAGGCGTCAGGGTAATGGTCTTTCACAACACTGCCGCGGGTGACACCAAAGTCTGAGAACCATTGCTCTGTCATTTCCCTCCTTTAGATGTATGCAAAAGGCAATAATATTTATTTTTTTCTAAATGTCTCGACCTTTCAGAAACACCATGCAAGCACACATACACACATACACCCACGAAATCTTATTGCTTATTGGCGTCATGTTGAAATAACGAAACTGGCTTCTTTCCTTCCTTTGGAAACCCCAACAAAAAGCAAGCTCGTGACGTCACTTCGTTGATAGTATAAAAGCAGGTCCTGATTCTCAGCTGGGCACTTAAGGTCCCAATAAGTCTTTGAAATGAATGCTAAGGTAACTCACCTCGAGGGCGAAGGCTGATCATGTTCTGTGCTACTTTGAAAATATGTAAGAAATGTTCATGAACACGGTATAATTATTATCATGTTATCTCAGGTGTTGCTGGTTCTGGGCGTGGTGGGCTGTGCTGTTGCAGACAGACGACCGACGTATTCTCACAACGAACCCGTGAGGATCCGTGCTTGACTTTATTTCAGTTGAGTTTATGAGATACTGTAGCTTTCTTATAACGACGTGGTTTATTTGAGACCTTGAGTGGTGAAAATCAAAACTTTGCAGGAATCGTTTGAGTACTCAGAGGAATCTAGCGAAGCCAAGTACGACTTCAGATGGGCCGTGAAGGACGACTACTCCGGCAACGACTTCGGTCATCAGGAGTCCCGCGACGGCGACTACACACAGGGGTCGTACTATGTGCAGCTCCCCGACAGCCGTCTGCAGAAGGTGACGTACTACGTGAACGGCGACTCGGGCTACGTGGCCGAAATCAGCTACGAGGGCGAGGCTCGCTATGACTCAGCTGAGTCTCGAGAGTACGGGCGGCCAGTGTACTCTCCGCCAAGACCCGTGTATTCCCAGCCAAGTCGTGTGTACTCTTCTCCCGAATCGGAGGAATCCTTGGAGATTCCTGCGTACATTTCACCCAGACCTATTTACGGGCCTCCAAGACCAACTTACGGCTGAAGGCGTCGGTCGTTCCCTTTGGTCAGTGTTGTTATAAGACGTAGGTTCTGAGAATGGTGGTTTTGCGTTAATAAAACGATTTCTATGATCACACAGTAGATGTATATACAGACTTCATATGGGTTATGATTACATACCACACACATGTACATAATGAAACAATGTAATAAAGTAAGCTGTCACTTCTTTGTTTTGTTTCTCATTTATTGGGGATGAAAGGTTTTAATAAATTATTTTATACACCGATTTACTTTTTCTTTATAATCATGCAAATCGGCAAAGAATGTTTCTTTTATCCGACGTGTAAATGCACGATTGCAGTGGATAAAATTTGTTCTGGAACAATTCATTGTGTATGAAACATTCCAATAAACAAGAGTCAGCATGATAGAATACTATGTATACACATATAAGGAGGGAACGCAATTTACTCAAATGACAAGGGATTTTGATCTTGAAATAACATTATGAAATTGACATAAACTATCTTATAAATTGTATAGACTTACACCACTGTATATATGTAAAACACGCACACACGCGTGTATCATTAATGTGTATGTGTACATGTGTGTGCGCGTATCCAATTTGACACTTTGATTTTCCGAGTTTTTAGGCATACTGTAATAACAAGGGGGTAAAGCAGTCATATGCATACTATTTATGTTGTAATAAGTGCCATAAGTGGCATATCTGTTCGCCCTTTTCTTCCTCTCCATTATGGACGTGGGTGGTGTGTCCACGAGTGCCACGGAATCAGTGTCAGCTGTCAGACCCATGCCCACATTAGAGTAAAATGGCGCTCCATCACTGTAATGTGTCGAGGCATGAGTCTTGCGGATTCCATATTGTATTTGTCTCTCTAGTCTCTTATTTTATATATTTTTTACGTAAATATCACTATAATTCAGTTCCATTTTCAAAGTAGTTACTCGGAGTGCCAATTATCTTTTATTCTCTTTTTATGGATGCCACTCAAGTTACTCCACATACCTTTGCTTTCGTGCCATTGTCATTGCCAGATTTTCCAGTACACCCTGTTCCCTTCTCATTGTAATTTATTCGTAAACTAAATTAAGAGTGAATTTCATTCATAAATTCATAATGAACTTATTGTTAATGCTGTCAAAACGTGCAACGAAATCAATTACAGTGGATTTCTCTTGTCATTAGTTACTCTATATCGCTCTAACACAGTTGCTCTCAAATAGGGGTAATAAAGTAATAAGTATATACATTAACAAGATTATAAAGGAATGACTAATACTTATGAGTCCTTTCAATGTTTATAACTTATTGTTGCGAGTTTTTTTTTGCGTATACCAAGTTAAAACCAAGTCCAGAACCAGCTAGAAGAAGCAGGTACTGAGATTTGCACTGTCCTCTCAGACCTCCCACCCCATCCCTCCTTTACTCGTTGTTGTCGTCGGGGGTGGGGGGGGGTAGATGACGAGACTGAGGCCCATTATTTTAACCATTCACTTCTAGCAACCCTGCACTTATATTTTATAAGCACAGAGAACACCGTGTTCCCCTTAGAATACAGCAAAATGTTTGTTTTATTACTATTAAAGACTTGTTTTAATTCGAATTTGTAAAAAAAGGAATAATCCTTTGAATTTAGATTTTGTCAAGGGGATAATATCAAGATTCTTTTTGCACATATACAATGCGTCAAAAATTAAGGATTCTTATATTTTTCTTTCTTTTAAGAAGCGAAAGGCGTCAGGGTAATGGTCTTTCACAACACTGCCGCGGGTGACACCAAAGTCTGAGAACCAATGCTCTGTCATTTCCCTCCTTTAGATGTATGCAAAAGGCAATATATATATATATATTATATATATATATATATATTATATATATATATATATATTATATATATATATATATTAACGTAAATATCACTATAATTCAGTTCCATTTTCAAAGTAGTTACTCGGAGTGCCAATTATCTTTTATTCTCTTTTTATGGATGCCACTCAAGTTACTCCACATACCTTTGCTTTCGTGCCATTGTCATTGCCAGATTTTCCAGTACACCCTGTTCCCTTCTCATTGTAATTTATTCGTAAACTAAATTAAGAGTGAATTTCATTCATAAATTCATAATGAACTTATTGTTAATGCTTTCAAAACGTGCAACGAAATCAAGTACAGTGGATTTCTCTTGTCATTAGTTACTCTATATCGCTCTAACACAGTTGCTCTCAAATAGGGGTAATAAAGTAATAAAGTATATAAATGAAACAAAGATTAAAAATGAATAATAATTATGAGTCTTTCAATGTTTATAACTTATTGTTGCGAGTTTTATTTTGCGTATACAGTTAAAACCAAGTCCAGAACCAGCTAGAATAAGCAGGTACTGAGATGTGCACTGTCCTCTGCAGACCTCCCCCCCCATCCCTTGCTCGTTGTTGTCGTCGGGGGGGGGGGGGGGGTAGATGACGGAGACTGAGGCCCATTGAAGGGGATCAGCCCTGCATTGGTCCTCAGCCCTCGCCTCAATTCATTTTGCTCTGTCTTTTCTTCTTTCGATTTCCTTTCTTCATCATCTTTCTTTCGTTCTGCCCTCTTAACCTAACCGTTGACTCATTTTTACCTTTTTTCACCACTGTACTTTAAAGTAGTGCTATATGACCTTTGATGTCTAGCATATTTATTTATTTTAACAATTCACCATCTACAACCTTCGCACTTATATTTTATTAAAAAAAAAAACAAAGAACACCGTGTTCCCCATTAGTAATACAGCAATAATGTTTACGTTTTATGACTTATTAAAGACTTGTTTTAATTCGAATTTGCAAAAAAAAGGAATAAACCTTTGAATTTAGATTTTGTCAAGGGGATAATATCAAGATTCTTTTTGCACATATACAATGCGTCAAAAATTAAGGATTCTTATATTTTTCTTTCTTTTAAGAAGGGAAAGGCGTCAGGGTAATGGTCTTTCACAACACTGCCGCGGGTGACACCAAAGTCTGAGAACCATTGCTCTGTCATTTCCCTCCTTTAGATGTATGCAAAAGGCAATATATATATATATATATTTTTCTAAATGTCTCAACCTTTCAGAAACACTATGCAAGTACACACACACACATACACCCACGAAATCTTATTGCTTATTAGCGTCATGTTGAAATCACGACACTGGCTTCTTTCTTTACTTTGGAAACCCCAACAAAAAGCAAGCTCGTGGCGTCACTTCGTTGATAGTATAAAAGCAGGTCCTGATTCTCAGCTGGGCACTTGAGGTCCCAACAAGTCTTTGAGATGAATGCTAAGGTAACTCGCCTCGGGGGCGAAGGCTGATCATGTTCTGTGCTACTTTGAAAATATGTAAGACATTTTCACGAACACGGTTTAATTATTATCATGTTTCTCAGGTGTTGCTGGTTCTAGGCGTGGTGGGCTGTGCTGTTGCAGACAGACGACCGACGTATTCTTACATCGAACCCGTGAGGATCCGTGCTTGACTTTATTTCAGTTGAGTTTATGAGATACTGTACTTTTCTTATAACGACGCGACTTCAGATGGGCTGTGAAGGACGACTACTCCGGCAACGACTTCGGCCACCAGGAGTCCCGCGACGGCGATCACACACAGGGGTCGTACTACGTGCAGCTCCCCGACGGTCGTCTGCAGAAGGTGACGTACTACGTGGACGGCGACTCCGGCTACGTGGCCGATGTCAGCTACGAGGGCGAGGCTCGCTATGACTCAGCTGAGTCTCGAGAGTACGGGCGGCCAGTGTACTCTCCGCCAAGACCCGTGTACTCCCAGCCAAGACGTGTGTACTCTTCTCCCGAGTCGGAGGAATCCTTGGAGATTCCTGTGTACATTTCACCCAGACCTATTTACGGGCCTCCAAGACCAACTTACGGCTGAAGGCGTCGGTCGTTCCCTTTGGTCAGTGTTGTTATAAGACGTAGGTTCTGAGAATGGTGGTTTTGCGTTATTCAAGCGATTTCTATGATCACACAGTAGATGTATATGCAGACTTCATATGAGAAACAATGTAATAAAGTAAGCTGTCACTTCTTTGTTTTGTGTCTCATTTATTGGGGATGAAAGGCTTTAATAAATGATTTTATACAGTGATTTACTTTTTTTCTCTATAGTTATGCAAATTGGCAAAGAATGTTTCTTTTATTCGACGTAGAAATGCACGATTGCAGTGGATAAAATTTGTTCTGGAACAACTCATTGTGTATGAAACGTTCCAATAAACAAGAGTCTGCTTGATAGAATACTATATATACACCCATATATAACATTATGAAATTGACATAAACTGTTTTATAAATTGTATAGACTTACACCACTGCATTATGGATATCACATACACACGCATGTATCATCAATGTGTATGTGTACGTGTGTGTGCGCGTATCCAATTTGTTTAAACTGTGTTCAACCGGAGTCCCGAGAACATAACTCTGCCATCACATGCCCGCCGTCAAGCACGCCCGCCCAGTTTGGATGTGACCCGCCGACTCATAACCCTCTTCGGGAGGGTCACAAGCAGCTTCCTTAATTAAGAGCAGCAAGGAGTGACATTTGACCTCACACAAGCTTGACCTTTCACTATACATCGCAAGCTCCATCAAGTTAGTGCCCGTTGCTGCACTTCTACACAACTCTAGTTTTATGTAATAAACAAAAACGTCTTTCAACATTAAAACAAAAAACTTAGCTATTGCTAAGAGCAAAATGGCGCTTCATCACTGTAATGTGTCGAGGCATGGGTCTTGCGGATTCCATATTGTATGTCTTTCTAGTCTCTTATTATATATACATATATATATATATCTATATCTATCTATATATATATATTAACGTAAATATCACTATAATTCAGTTCCATTTTCAAAGTACTTACTCGGAGTGCCAATTATCTTTTTTATTTTCCTTTTATGGATGTCACTCAGTCTACTCCACATAACTTCGCTTTCGTGCCATTGTCATTGCCAGATTTTCCAGTACACCCTGTTCCCTTCTCATTGTAATTTATTCGTAAACTAAATTAAGAGTGAATTTCATCCATAAATTCATAATGAACTTATTGTTAATGCTTTCAAAACGTGCAACAAAATCAAGAACAGTGGATTTCTCTTGTCATTAGTTACTCTATATCGCTCTGACACCGTTGCTCTCAAACGAGGCACTTACTTAAAGTATTATTTTTATTTTCTGAAGTAAAATGGTATTAAATAAAAGCATATAAATGAATGGGTAAATATCTTACACAATGATGTCTTTCACTTATTATTTCACTTAAGTCTTTAACTTATTGTTGCGAGTTTTACTTTGCGCATTCAGTTAAAACCAAGTCCAGAACCAGCTGGAATAAGCAGGTACTGCAATGTGCACTATCCTCTGCAGACCCTCCCCCCATCCCTTGCTCGTTGTTGTCGTTAGGGGGGGGGGTAGATGACGGAGACTGAGGCCCATTATTTTAACAATTCACCATCTACAACCCTCGCACTTATATTTTATTAAAGAACAGAGAACACCGTGTTCCCCATTAGTAATACAGCAATAATGTTTGTTTTATTACTTATCAAATACATATTTTAATTCGAATTTGTAAAAAAAGGAATAATCCTTTGAATTTAGATTTTTGTGAAAGGGATAATATCAAGATTCTTTTTGCACATATACAATGCATCAAAAATTAAGGATTCTTATATTTTTCTTTCTTTTAAGAAGGGAAAGGCGTCAGGGTAATGGTCTTTCACAACACTGATGCGAGTGACACCAAAGTCTGAGAACCAATGCTCTGTCATTTCCCTCCTTTAGATGTATGCAAAAGGCAATATATATATATATATTAACGTAAATATCACTATAATTCAGTTCCATTTTCAAAGTAGTTACTCGGAGTGCCAATTATCTTTTATTCTCTTTTTATGGATGCCACTCAAGTTACTCCACATACCTTTGCTTTCGTGCCATTGTCATTGCCAGATTTTCCAGTACACCCTGTTCCCTTCTCATTGTAATTTATTCGTAAACTAAATTAAGAGTGAATTTCATTCATAAATTCATAATGAACTTATTGTTAATGCTTTCAAAACGTGCAACAAAATCAAGAACAGTGGATTTCTCTTGTCATTAGTTACTCTATATCGCTCTGACACCGTTGCTCTCAAACGAGGCACTTACTTAAAGTATTATTTTTATTTTCTGAAGTAAAATGGTATTAAATAAAAGCATATAAATGAATGGGTGAATATCTTACACAATGATGTCTTTCACTTATTATTTCACTTAAGTCTTTAACTTATTGTTGCGAGTTTTACTTTGCGCATTCAGTTAAAACCAAATCCAGAACCAGCTGGAATAAGCAGGTACTGCAATGTGCACTATCCTCTGCAGACCCTCCCCCCATCCCTTGCTCGTTGTTGTCGTTAGGGGGGGGGTAGATGACGGAGACTGAGGCCCATTATTTTAACAATTCACCATCTACAACCCTCGCACTTATATTTTATTAAAGAACAGAGAACACCGTGTTCCCCATTAGTAATACAGCAATAATGTTTATGTTTTATTACTTATTAAATACATATTTTAATTCGAATTTGTAAAAAAAGGAATAATCCTTTGAATTTAGATTTTTGTCAAAGGGATAATATCAAGATTCTTTTTGCACATATACAATGCGTCAAAAATTAAGGATTCTTATATTTTTCTTTCTTTTAAAAAGGGAAAGGCGTCAGGGTAATGGTCTTTCACAACACTGCCGCGGGTGACACCAAAGTCTGAGAACCAATGCTCTGTCATTTCCCTCCTTTAGATGTATGCAAAAGGCAATAAGTATTTCATAATATTTATTATTATTATTTTTTTCTAAATGTCTCGACCTTTCAGAAACACCATGCAAGCACACATACACACATACACCCACGAAATCTTATTGCTTATTGGCGTCATGTTGAAATAACGACACTGGCTTCTTTCCTTCCTTGGGAAACCCCAACAAAAAGCAAGCTCGTGACGTCACTTCGTTGATAGTATAAAAGCAGGTCCTGATTCTCAGCTGGGCACTTGGGGTCCCAACAAGTCTTTGAGATGAATGCTAAGGTAACTCACCTCGGGAGCGAAGGCTGATCATGTTCTGTGCTACTTTGAAAATATGTAAGAAATTTTCATGAACACGGTATAATTATTATCATGTTTCTCAGGTGTTGCTGGTTCTGGGCGTGGTGGGCTGTGCTGTTGCAGACAGGCGACCGACGTATTCTTACATCGAACCCGTGAGGATCCGTGCTTGGCTTTATTTCAGTTGAGTTTATGAGATACTGTACTTTTCTTATAACGACGCGGTTTATTTGAAACCTTGAGTGGTGAAAATCAAAACTTTGCAGGAATCGTTTGAGTACTCTGCGGAATCTCGCGAAGCAAAGTACGACTTCAGATGGGCCGTGAAGGACGACTACTCCGGCAACGACTTCGGCCATCAGGAGTCCCGCGACGGCGACCACACACAGGGGTCGTACTATATGCAGCTCCCCGACGGCCGTCTGCAGAAGGTGACGTACTACGTGAACGGCGACTCGGGCTACGTGGCCGAAGTCAACTACGAGGGCGAGGCTCGCTATGACTCAGCTGAGTCTCGAGAGTACGGGCGGCCAGTGTACTCTCCGCCAAGACCCGTGTACTCCCAGCCAAGACGTGTGTACTCTTCTCCCGAATCGGAGGAATCCTTGGAGATTCCTGTATACATTTCACCCAGACCTATTTACGGGCCTCCAAGACCAACTTACGGCTGAAAGACACAGGATCGGAAAATGGTGAACTAGCGTTGGTAAAGCGGATTCTATCATCACGCAATAAATGATATAATTACACTTTTTATGGTTGTCATTTCAAACCAAACACAATGTATAACAAACGAATACATGAAATGTAATTCACTTTTATTTATTGCTATTCTTAGTAAAAGTATCTCATATTGGGGATGAAAAGCTATATTTATTGATTACTATTTATACAGACTAGCGCCAATCTCCAACACATTTCTTTAATTCAATTTATTGTGTATGTGCAATTAATGAAACCTGGTCCTGGCAAAATTTGAATATATGAAATGTATTCTGACAAACAAGAAGAATCTGCATGATGAAACAATGCAAATACTTCCACAGGAGAGAGAAACTCTACCTAACTGTTGCAGGATACCAGGATAATATTTCGAGAATTGTGAGTAGGACTTAGACCTTGATATACGTAAGCTTGTATATATATGTATATATGTATATAGATACATGCACACAGAAAAAGACACATATATCATGTTTATATGTATGAGTATATTTGTATATATGTTTATATGCGTTTTTATATGTGTACATGTCCGAGTGTGTGTGTATGTGTGTATGCGCATGTGTGTATACACTAAAACGTTCTTGATCTTCCAAGTTTTCTTCGATTTACATAGCTCCTCTATGTTGCCTGAGGTATGTGCATATACTATGTTTTACAATGACTGGCATATTTGTCCGCCCTTTCCTCTCTATTACGGGCGTGGGTGGTCTGCCTCAAGTGACGAGACGTCGTTGCCAGCAGTCTGACCCATGTCCGCATTATGCAACTGTGTGTTAATACTGAGAGGCGTTAGGTGTTAAACACGAAGCCTGAGAACATAACTCCTCACACGCCCACCGCCAAGCACGCCCGTCAAGTGAGGCGTGACCCGCTGACGCATAACCCTCTCCGGGAGGGTCACGAGCGGCTTCCTAAAGAGCAGCAGTGAGTGCCACTTGACCTCGGACGAGCATGACCTTGACACTACGACTCGCAAGCTCCATCGTGTCAGCGCCCACTGTTGCGCTTGTACGTAACTCTTGTTTTACGTAATAAGCTATCTACTGCCACACACACAGATTAGTTACTATCGAGAGCAATAGGACGTTTTTTAAGGAAATTGTATCGTTTCTAGCTATTGTAAATTCTTAAATATACGGCATATCAACTCTATCTACTGCCACAGAACAAAAAAAATAGTTACTATCAAGAGTAACAAGGCGTTTTTAAGGAATTTGATTATAGAGTATAGAGCTATTGTAAATTCTAGAATATATGGCTTATTTATTCAAAGTAAACAAAACGAGTCTTAAAATATGAACTAAATAAAACAACTAAGAACGAACCAATTAGAGCACCATATAAAGCTACGAAAACACATGAAATGCTATTAAGAAATAAGAACCAAAACATAAAGTAAGAACACAAATGAAAATAAGCCACGGTGGTCAAGCAAGCCCCCCCCCCCAAAAAAAAAGGAAAGAAAAAAAAATGGAGCATAGCATTTTCTTTTAGACAATGACTACCTCCAGTTTCTCAAAAAAAAAAAAAAAAAAAAATCTGTCTCTTGGATAATGTCGAGAGTGGATGAAAAACAAACATGGCGACTGCATAGCCTCTGGATTTTTTTTTTTCTTTTACAGCATTTTAGTTTCTAACAATCCCTCTTGTATGGCATATTTTGCTAGATGTTTAGATGTCAAAATTGTATAAAAAATGTAAATTATACCCAAACCTTTGGCCGTTGAGCAAGAGGCGACGGCGAAGAAGGGGGGGGGGAGAACCAGTTGGGAAGGCGTGTCGAGGCCTCAGCACTTCGGTTTACTTACTATTTGCATCTCGAGAGTCTTATCTCATTTATAGTATTCATTACCACTTGAATTACTAAAGATCTCCCTTTACTATTTTCGAATGGTTACCATTCTGTTTGCTTCATATGTTTCCTTCGATATCCACGACATTGTTATCATCTGAATTTTTAAAAATACGAAATCCTGAAATTATGGTCAACTGTTTGCAATTTACATATTGAACAAACACAAAAAAAAAAAAAAAAAAAAAAAACATGAACTTACATTCACGCTCCACACGTGTATACAAAAACAAGCATGGTGGATTTCTAGTAACTGGTCTGTAAGACTCTAAGATCATTTCCCTCTTTTAGACACACTCGGTAGGCAGTGCATCTTTCGGATCGTGCTCTATTTTTCCACTTGTCTCATTGACTTACCAGCCACATGCATACCCATCCACGTACGCGCACACTGACACACGAAAAATATCTTTTTAGCGTCATGTTGAAATAGTTGACTCCTTTCCTTTCTTCGGAAACACCAGCAAAAAGTAGGCTCGTGTTAGAAACAAAATGTATTGCTAAATCTGGCAGTGGCAGTGAAAACAAAGACATGAAGAGTAGACTGAGTGGTGATCACAATAGGAAAATGAAAGAAGATACTCCTTATCACAAATAATATAGTTGGGGAGACTTTCATTCATACATTCGTGAATAAACTTGCATTAATGCTTTCTAAAACGCGCATACAAATCCAAACACGGTAGATTTCTCATACCATTAATACATGCATGTCAGAGTTCCTCTCAAACAAACAGGGGTTAATATACCCGTTTCAAATGGTAGCGAATCAGTTTTTAAAAGCAATAGTTTATTTTTAAAGTTAAATGATAAATAAGGACAAATGAATGAGTAAGTGAATGAGCGAATATCTAAGTAAATACATAATGATAAATGAATAATGACAATACCTTCAATTTGCGTTAAATCCAAAGCGAGGAACCAACAGAAAGGCGCAGGTGCTGATATACGATGTGCATTGTTCTCTACAGTCTCTCGCATTGATATTCTATTAAAGGACGAATATGTTTTCCATTAATGATTGATTATTAATGGTGACCATTAATTACCAAGGAAATAAAGTTTTAATTCAGAATTGTAGCAATCTTTTGACTTTGGATTTTTATCAAGGGAATAATGTCTAAATTCTTTATTCAAGCAAAATTAATCTCAAATATAAAATGCATCAATAATTTAGCATTCCTCTCTTTTTTTTCATTCATCTTCGCATAACTGAAGATGAAACGTTGGGGATAAAGGTGATGACACACCTCTCTTTAGAGGTATACAAAGGCAATAGACATTTCACATTGACATGCATGCATACGTACACACACACACATACACATACACACACACGAAAACTTATTGCTTATTAACGTCATGTTGAAATAACGACACTGATTGGCTTCTTTCCTTCCTCTGGAAACCTCAGTAAGAAACAGGCTCGTGACGTCACTTCGCTGGAAGTATAAAAGCAGGTCCCGATGTTGAGCTGGACACTTGAGGTCCCAACAAGTCTTTGAGATGAATGCTAAGGTAACTCACTTCGAAAGCAGAGGCTGATCATGTTCTGTACTACTTTGAAGATATGTAAGAAAAGCAATTTTAGTGAACACGGTATAATTATCATGTTTCTCAGGTGTTTCTGGTTCTGGGCGTGGTGGGCTGTGCTGTTGCAGACAGACGACCGACGTATTCTTACAACGAACCAGTGAGGAACTGTGTTTGACTTTATTACAGTTGAATTTATGAGATACTGTAGTTTTCTTATGCCGAACGCCATTTCTTTGAACCCTTGAATGACGGGAATTAAAACTTTTTCAGGACTCGTTTGAGTACTCAGCGGAATCTAGCGAAGCAAAGTATGACTTCAGATGGGCCGTGAAGGACGACTACTCCGGCAACGACTTCGGCCATCAGGAGTCCCGCGACGGCGACCACACACAGGGGTCGTACTACGTGCAGCTCCCCGACGGCCGTCTGCAGAAGGTGACGTACTACGTGAACGGCGACTCGGGCTACGTGGCTGATGTCAGCTACGAGGGCGAGGCTCGCTATGACTCGGCTGAGTCTCGAGAGTACAGGCGGCCAGTGTACTCTCCGCCAAGACCCGTGTACTCCCAGCCAAGACGTGTGTACTCTTCTCCCGAGTCGGAGGAATCCTTGGAGATTCCTGTGTACATTTCGCCCAGACCTATTTACGGGCCTCCAAGGCCAACTTACGGCTGAAAGCAGGTTCTAAAAATGGTGAATTAAAGTAGTGCGGATTCTATATCACAATAAATGTTATAATTAGACCTTTTTATTGTAAACCAAACACTAATAAACGGATGCATAAAATGTAACTGTCATATTTTCGTTATTTCTATTCTTAGAAAAAGGTATTTTATATTTGGGATAAAAGGCTTCAACAAAGGTATTTTTAGTTTACTCTTTTTACAAAGACTTACACCAACGTAA